CTACCAGACATTCCCACCACCTATTCCTCCTCCTCATCAAATGCAAATGCAAACACAGCCCATGAGACCAGCCATGGTTCAGAGGATGCCATACCAGGAAGGAACCAGATGCAGGAGCTCATCTCTCGGTAGCATTATATCGGAAGAGGAGTTCGAGGGAAGGAGATCCTATGCCAGAGCTAATGGTATGTATAACTATAATACTACCAGTAATATAAATATTTAAAATATTTCTGTGGTGTAATTTTTTAGTAAACTGTCTCTGTGCACTTATTATCCCTGGTCATCGGATTAAAGACAACATCCTCAACCTTCTAGGGAGCACAATTCTATAAGCAGATAAGTAATCCCTATAACCGTAAAACCTCGAGAAGATGCCCATCTTGAATTGTACCCCCTCTTCAGTTTGCAAACGTAGACCCAAAAAGAAGCCCATCTCAAGATAGTGTGGGCTTCTTTTTTTTTTTTTGGAGATAGTACATTACATACACTATACATGAATTTGAAAGAAACTAAATAAATTAAAAACACACCCGGGGAATGATCCGTGAGAGAAAGTAACCATGATCTAAATGCCGAGGGCGTAAACCACAACAAATGTGCCAACCTCTTTTTACACTTTTTTAATGTAACAAATATAGTTATATATCTTGAGTTAAAATTATTATAAATATATGTAACTTTTCATGTGTGGCTTTTATATTTGTTTATTATCAGTTTGATTCTATTCTATATTTGTATTTCAGGTATGGTTGCTTCAGAGGCGTACTACCAAGATCAAGGTTTCGCTAAGCCCCCTCCTGCTGTCACCACTTACTTGCCTGTAGCCCAACCTATGCCGCCATTTCCTGGAACTCCGCAGATGCAGATGGCTGCCCTCAACCTGGACACGCCTCCAGTTACCCCTACAGCGTATCAGTACCCATTGATGGGTCCACGTCAGACTGCTCCTCCACAACAGTTTATATATCGAAGTCCAACGAAGCCAAACCCGCAAATCCGTGGTAAAAATGTCAATGGCTTTATTGTAGTTTAAGGAAGATTTTTTTTTTTTTGCAAATTTCACATTTTTGCATGCTTTGGCATTATAATGATTTATTTTCTTTCAATTTATTTAATTGAAAGAGAATATTTAGCAATTGAACACCTTGAAAATTAATTGATTTATGTCTACCAGATTCATTAAATTGATTTTGCTAAGAAGGATTTTACTGTTTTTTAATGAGAAACCAAATATAAAGTAGACATTACTATAAAGTTGATTTAGAAATGATTTATAAATGTTCATTGGAAAGTTTTCCTTATTTTTTTCAAAATATTTTTCATGTGTTTAAATAGATATGTTCACTTTAAAAGAATTCTAAATCTACATAATTTTGATGATTGTTTTACAAAGAAATAATCTTGCATTAAGGCTGTGTCTAAATCACCTTAATTCAAAGAATTTGTTTAGAAATTCTATTTTTGAAAAAAAGGAAACTATTTTTAATTGTGAATTCCAATAATGACTTAGTTTGTGATGGTATTTTCTCAATACAGATGATGCTCAAATGTCCTTTAAGCACTTGCTTTTGTAGTAAATCTAGTCTTTGGTAACCATTTTTATATATATCCAAAATCTATCCATAAACATCAAGCACAAAGAGTCCTTGTTGGTGTTTCTGTGGCTACAGTCTAGAACCCCATCCTGTCGCCAACTGCGACAGGATGGGGTTCTAGACTGTAGCCACAGAATTTGTTGTCAAAATGTTTTCCAAAGACTATGTTCATTATAATATTAAGTGGTGTGGACATTTTGATAATCAAACCCCAGTGCAATCACTAGACTAGTGCTAGTTAATATTTTTAGACATTCGAACATTTTGCATTTATACAGTTACTTAACACATTTCAAGTTTTATATTCAATGTTCTATCTTTCATAAGAATTCTATTTTTAGCATAAACTGCATTAATTATTAAATAATTGGATTCATCTCTGATTATATTGAAAGGATTTTGTTCATAACAAAAAATTATCTGTGTTGGTAAGTCAGTCAATTATTACTTTAAAATAGAAAATATTGAAACAAATTCAGAACAAATATTGCAATAACAGACCAGTTTAAAATGGATCATAAAACTGATGTGTTTTGTACCGTCTTTCATGCTTGTAAAATTTGTTGAAAAAAATATGTATAAAACTAAACATGTTGCTATTCATATGTCTGTAGAATTACCAGTCTTTTCATTATATTATTAAGTTTATTGATTAGTAATGAAGAAAACAATAGTACTTTCCAAACAAGTTATAATCTGTAGGTTTGTGTGCCAGCATACATCTTCACCATTTATACAGAAAGAAGTGGAAAGATCATATAACTTTGAAAATACTCTAGCTTCCTGGTATATTGTATTGTACAGGACCGTAATCAGGTGAATCAGGGGATCGGACGACCCCCCCCCCCCACAGAAAAAGGAGTTACGCTCAACTAGACCAATAGACAACACAACTTTACAAGTGCGATTTATGCACTTCTCAATTGTAGTCCTGGATTCTAATAGGGTCAGTTTGTTTCTACTAAGTACATACTGCTGATGGTGTCAGTGGAAATCCACCTTAAGCATACAATAAGTATGCATGTTAATGACAGTATATAGTTTATTGCTAGTTAAGTATATGTTTTCTTTCTCTTAAGTACTTTCCCTCCACTTAAAAAAAGTAAAAAATGTGCTATTTTTTTCTTTGTTTCAATATTTAGAAAAGGAATGTCTGTTTTGAAGCAGTTAGAAAATGTTATAATGTTTGTGTTATACTGGTGTATATATTGGAACCTAGGTTTGTGAGTTAAAGTAATTAATTTCCTCTCTATATATTATTTTACATAAAAATAAACATTTCTTAAAATACAACCAGTTTTAGAAAGATTTATGTAAACAGAAATATATATTTAAATGTTATGTTAACTAGTAAAAGAAGTGTGAATAAATGTGCTCCAATTGTATCAGTCTAAAAACTGTAAAAGAAAGTATTATGAAAACCAGTAAATATAATGATATATTTTTAAATATTGAAATCATTTTATTTTATTTTCGAAAAATTTCTTTAAATATGTATACTACTTGAATAACTTTAAATCTCAAATGAACTGCAGTTAGTAAGTTTCATTTAATCTCATTATAAATAATATGAAATCATTGTGTATGCAAAAATACCCTATCCTTTTGATACACTTAGAACCTCATCTTGCATTTACATATCAGTTGCATTGTTAGTAATTGCAGTATTTGGAATATTTGACACCCAGTATTTAAGTGATCCACAAAAAACGAAGTTTCATTCAGGTATTCTAAGTATAAAAGAACGTTCGTTCATACATGGTATTGATTTTGTAATATATTTATTAAGAGCAGTTTTTTCAGTAACTGAACTCTAGCGAAAAACAAAAAAAAATTAAGGAAAAATCAACTGTAATTAAGTTACCAATAGTGTGTCTCCATGCAGCAGGCAGCTGACATAATATGGTACCAATGGAAATGTAATTTTACTTGATGTGTTGGTTTCCAACAATATACAAGTTTGTGTTGTAGAAGATTTATTGATAAGAAATATTTGTCTTGTTTTGTGAATATGCACACTCAGCTTTAGGGAAGATAGTATGAAGATTGTTATCTAGAAACCATATATATGTATCAGTTATATGCCACAAAATATATTTGAATGCTATCAAATGATTTCTATTATATGTCTAAGTATTATATATATATATATATATATATATATATATATATATATATATATATATATATATATATATAT